CGGCACCAGCCGGCGCGAGGTGCCGCTCGCAGCCAGTCAGCTGCCTGGGCAGGTGAAGGCGCTGAGGGCTGGGCTTTAGGCCTTTCTACTTACATTCTGAGCTGCACTGGCAGAACTTCTCGCAGAAGTTTTGAGCGATGACGCACGGGCAGGAGCTGTCGCAGGGCTGACGGGGGTGATCGCACGGCTGGTAGTTGTACACGTGGTTCGATGACCCGTCTGAATAAGAACAGCAGCGTTTCGGAAGGTGGAAAAGTACAAATAATGCGCAGTTCCCTTCACTCTTTAGAGCAGAAATGTCCCTTTTAGTCGATTAACTAAGAAAACCCCAAAAATGAGTGACAGCGAAATTAGCAGTCAAGAGCTGAAAAGCTCTTTTAAGGTGGAAAACCGACAGACAGACGGTGCAATGTCCTGTGTGAACGCGTTCTGGAGTAACCCCTGTGTTACTCAGCCAAGCAAATCTGCTCAAGTACCCCAAGTTAAAGTGAACTCTGGGGCAGCAGTCGCCTTCCAAACAGCCGCACTGGCAGAGTAAGTCCTACCTGCTCCTTATGCCACTGTGCTTTCCCAAGTCAACTTCCCAGTGGAGGCAACGCTAACATCTTGCAGGAGGGACTGGGGGGGACAAGCCTAGAGCTTTCCCTATGCAGCAACCAGGGGAATTTGGTGCTGTGTCAAGTATTTTCAAATAAGTTTAATTAAAACCAACCCCAAATACTGCTTTTTACCGCATCTCCTCCTGTTAACACCGTTTTGATCCATACCGCAATGAGGCCATAGTGAAAAGATGGTCAATTCAGGCTCTTTCCCGTCTTACTGCAGCATGCAGCGCTCTTCCAGTCACAGCACCCAAACAATACCAGTATGGAGAGCTGACTTTGTGCCTTTTTATTCCCCCTACAATCTCTAGCTCCCGTGGAGTGTACAGAATGGAAAACAACCCGCCCCCGAGCCCCCCGCAAGAAGCAACGGTAGGATGTTAGCAGTGGAGGAGGTAAATTGAATGGAAAGATGCTAACCCTTTTTCAGCTGTATCTTTCTGCAATGAGCAGCCCACAACCTGCAAAAAACACAAAAACAGACACAAAGGTGGTTGAGGGGAACTCCTCCTGTGGTGGGCCGGGAGCGGCAGCGGCATTCCCAAGTTTCGGGCACAGGTCAGCAGCGGCTGCAGCGGAACCAGCCTGGCCCAGTTCTCTCGGAGCTGAGGAGCTCAACGTTCCGCGGGCTGCTCCCTCCCCAGCCTTCCCACAATGTTCCTCTGGGCCCTGGGTTGTACCCACCAGCAGCCCCCACCCGGCCCGGGCTACGGAGACCTGAAAATCCCAACGGCCTTGAAGGAAAACCTGCGAAGAGGAGGCTGCTGGAGCTGCTCCTAGCAGGCAGAAGGAAGGATACGGAACTGCAGATGCGCGGGGACGCGCCTGAACAGGGGAGTGAACCCTTCGCGTCACGGGACTCGGCCCCAGCAGCACGCGGGTCGTCTCCTATGGATCATGGCCAGGCAGTTCCTTCATCTCCTGAGCTCCCCGTAGGTGACGGCGGGAGG